ATCTGAGGAATACCAACATGAGTACTGTCCAACGACATTAGTATCATTCTCCATTTCATATTTCACTGCTGTTTTTGCAGCTGATGTGGTGCCACATCTTCTAATTACATTCCCAGGTCTCAGTCACTGCGAATATCTATAGATCACCTTCTTTTCCTAAATCGTGGCCTCTGTGTGGTTAAAACTGCTGCCCTCTCCCTTAAGTCCCAGCTGTTTGGATCCTGCTGTGAGAGATTGTGAGCGACTGGGTGCTGGACAGCTGCAACGTCAAGTTAAAAAGAAAAGACCAGCACATGTCTTTGCTACTGAAATCCTTGGTTTGTTCACGTGTTGCATATGAGCACAGAGAATACGTATCTCTCGTTCCTAAAGATTTGAATGTCTTATTTTTATCTCATTTTGTGGGACCGTACACTTACAGAGTGTGGAGCAGCATTCATCTTATAAAGTCAGAAATGTTCCTGGTTTAATCTAAAATAATTTAATTGCATTCATTTTATGTAAATTTCTAAGCCAAATAAAATTATTCATAGATATGAGTCCAGTTCTGTGTTTTCTAGGCCACCATTACTTGCCTTTTGCATACAGTATCTTACTGTGAGTTCTGTAAGTCTTATAGATCTTGAAACATTCAAGGACTAGAAATAGCAGATGAGAACTTGGGAGGCATTATAACAGCTAAGTCATTATTTTACTTGGACAATTTAACTTAGTCAAACCAAATAGTAACATAAGATGAAACCCATGTGTATTCAATTGCCAAAATGTCTGTTTATTTTAAACAGCTTTTATTTCCTTTAATAACACTTCTGGAATATCACTTATAGCATATTCACTTTTTTAACTGCACTATTTTTAGTTTTGAATGTCCTGAAGATATTATAACTAATTAGTCCTCTGAGCATATTGATTAAATTCATTTACATTTCATAGATCTAAAGATCTAAAGAAAGAAAAAAATATTGGTGGAAGGTTATTTAAGAATACTGCACAGAGAAAATGAACAAAAATGAAAACAGTTAAAAATAATCAAATGCTCAATGTACACTGTTACTGCCAAACAATTTTAATACATTTTAGGAGAAATCATTCTGTTCTTAAAACTGTGCCTACAGATATTTTTCTCCCTTCAGTAATTATCTTTTATAGTCCCATCAATTTAACATGGTGAATATGTTAATATTACTAACTTATCCTAGGCTTGCCCATTATGCATGAACTATATCTAAAAGGGATCAGATCTGCAAAAATCTCATCCTCAGACCTTTTTATAAATTATGAAGTGTTATGGATCAATTCAACAAGCACTTAAGGTTAATTAATGAATCCAACAATGATGATGCAGTGGGAATTATATGCCAGGCATGTTTGTTAGACTCTAGAGAGTCAGAAATGAAATGGCCATTAATCTGAGCTCACTGACAACTGAATGAGATAAGAATGTTATGGTATTGAGGTAGCAAGGCATAAATATTTTTTATTGTGCATAAATCTGGGACTGTGATACATACAAAGAGGTATTTATTTATTTATTTATTTATTTATTACCTATGGGTAGTTTACAATCCCAAAGGGTAAATTAAATTTGTGACTTATTTGAAGAAAATTGAATTTTCCTCCCTAGTAGATCCTCTCTCCCTACTGAAGGGGAAGAAAACCATATTTCCAAGACATAGTCAGTAAATTGGTGTCATTTTTGTTGTTTTGCCTCACAATGTCAGTATTTTTGAAGCTATTCTTAAAGAATAGATGGTAAATGGTTTAAAGGGGGAAAATCATATTAGTTTGCTGGCTTTGTTTTTTATGGGAAGACAATGATCTTACTGCATTTTGGTGTGGTTATCCGTCAGATAAATTTAATCCCCTGTTGAAGAGCTCGTCTTTTTTTTTTTTTTTTTCCCCGCAGTACGCGGGCCTCTCACTATTGTGGCTTCTCCCGTTGCGGAGCACAGGCTCCGGACGCGCAGGCTCAGCGGCCATGGCTCACGGGTCCAGCTGCTCCGCGGCATGTGGGATCCTCCCGGACCGGGTCACGAACCCGTGTCCCCTGCATCAGCAGGTGGACTCTCAACCACTGCGCCACCAGGGAAGCCCGAAGAGCTCTTTCTTTAAAGGGGTTTGGTATTTCTGGTATCAATGATCAGCAAAAGATATGGGACTTCATTCACTTTCTATTGTTGTTGTGACAAATTACCACAAATTTTGTGGCCTAAAAAAACAGAAATTGATTATCTTAACTGTTCTAGAAGTACAATGTCAGAAATGGGTCTTAGTGAGCTAAAATCAACGTGTCAGCAGGGCTGCATTTCTTCTGAAAGTTTTAAGGGATATCTGGTCCTTGCTTTTTCCAATCTAGAGACGGCTGCCTTTCTTACTTTGTGGCCACTTCCTCCAACTTCAAAGCCAACAACACAGTATATTAAAATCTCTCTCTGACTCTGATTTCTTCTTCTGCCTCTCTCTTTTATTTTAAAGAATCTTCTTGTGATTACCTTGAGCCCACCTAGATAATACAGGATAATATCTTGATCTTTCAGTAAGTAAAGATTAGTAAAATTAATTACATTTGCAACTTAATTGTCCACTGCCTTGTAACCCAACATATTCAGAGGATCTAGGGATTAGGATACAAACATCTTTGGGAATCCTAATTCTGCCTACCACAATGGTTTGACCAAGAACTTCTGGGTTCCCTTCTCTTGGATATGAATTTCAACTGGTTTTGGCAGAATCTCAAGTACTCCTGTATAACCACCAGCAAAGGTAGTTATAGAGGTGTAGAGCATGATATATGAACCAGGTAAAAGGGTCCCTGTCTGGATCATGAAGTGAAGAGGAGTTAAACTTATCTTGATACTATCTTGAACTATTTACCTTTTTTTCATTCCTGAACCCTTAGGCAAAGCATTGTCTTCCTTCTTCCTCATAGTACTGGTCAAGTTTGCAGTTAGTAAGAGAACAATTATGAGTCCAAATTTGGGCCTTAAGAAGACAGCAGTACCTTGATGCCTAAGTGGTGTTTAGTTACCAAGGAATAGGTCATTCTTGGGGAATAATCTTTGAGACTATGAGTACCAACATTAATCTACAAGTGCCATTGTTCATCTCTTGTTTTTATTGGAGAAGGTTGGCTTGATTTTTATTATGGCATCTTTCTTTACATGGAGTAGTACAAAAACTGGGCAAATGTGATTTAAAAAACAACTAACTTAGTATAGAAAGCCCCATAAAGCAATGATTTCAAAGTACTGTGAAGTGAGGGTAAAGAAGCTTTGTGGCAAGAAAGATACTCAGTGTGGACATCTCTAATGTTTCTCTTTTCAGCTCTATTCATGGATATACTTACTTGATGCACTGACATGACTATCATGGTCATTGAGTCATTGTTCCCAACTCCTCACTTGATTCCCTATATTAGAATTGTGTATCCATGTCCTTTGTCATATGACTATGTAGTACTTCCTTGTGTGACAGAATGTGTGTTGCTGTACTGTTGATGTTGGACTTGGCCATTTTACTTACTTTCACTGATGGCATGTGGATGGGATTGGCAGTATGGGGGATATGTACCTACACTTTAAGAGCCCCTGCATGTTTCTGATTATTTTCCTGGCTCCTGGACTTTCCATGAGACATATGTGCTCCAGCTAGCCTCTGGTCTGAAGAGAGTGAATGACATATGGAACAGACCTGAGCTCCACCCACACTCTGCAGCTCATCCCTTGCAGACATGTAGTCATATGAGCAAAAAAAAAAAAGTTTGTTTCATTAGTCACTGGGATTTTGAGGTTATTTGTTATGAACTATTATGAAAGGCCATATTCAATTGCTACAGTATCCAAAATTGTACTGAAAATTTTTGTTGACTGTATCATGTTGTTCTCAGTTACAAAAATCTACATGAATCTCTTGACTCCACAGTTTTCCTCAAATTCCATATATAATCAGTCAACCGGGTCCAATAAATTAACCCTATTAAATTTCTCCATAATTTTTCTTTACTCACTGATCATATGTCACTGCTTTAGTTCACGTCAGCATTATTTCTCTCCTTGGTAATAGGAGAGGTAACAGCACCAGCATCTTAGATGCCTCCATCTCAAGCTTTCCAATCCATTCTTCACAATGATCTAGAGTAACTTTCGTAAAATGAGAGTGTAAGAGTGCCAGACTTCTGAATAGAATATGTAACTGTCTCTCTATTCCTTATACAATGAAGGGCAAATGCATTGTGGTGGCATGCTCAGCCCTTCATCATCTGATTTCTGCTTAGCCGACTACCATGTCATTCTCCCACCTATATCCTATGCCTGATATAAGTCCCTCAGAAGTCCAATCTGAAATGTCTTGGTATGTCATATATTAGTCTCAGTTTGGTCTTTTTTTTTTTAGTCCCTCAGAAATCCAATCTGAAGTGCCTTGATATGTCATATATTAGTCTCAGTTTGGTCTATTTTTTTAAAGATAAAATTTCTTTGTTAGGAATGAATTGACTTCATGTTTTCATAATGATCAATTTGGCATGCTCTAAGACTCAGAGCTAACAGAAGTCCTTACATTAGTAAAATATTTCCTGACTTTCTCTCTCCAGGCAAAATCTGATGCTCCATTCTTGGCTCTTATAAACCCTTGCACAGACCATTACTATAGCACTTATATTATTGTATTAGAACAGACAGCATATCTATAGCCACTATAAAATAGTGAGCTGTTATTCTTTATGATCCTAGTCACCTAAACAGTGTCTAATAGATTGCTTTATGCATTCATTTTCTTATTCATTAAAAAAATGTTAATGAGGACTCTGTCTAATAGGTGATGGTTTAGGCGCTGGGAATAAACAGTGAATGAAATGAACAACATATTTCTACTACTTCTGTAGCTACAGTGTGCAAGCACAGTATTAAACATATTACATATATTACCTGATTTACTTCTCTTAAACATTCTGAAAATTATATAGCACCCTTACTCCACATGTAAAGACACTAAAACTCAGAGTCATCCTCCCTTTGGCAACACATACACTAAAATTGGAACAATACAGAGAAGATTAACATGGCCCCTGTGCAAGGATGACATGCAAATTTGTGAAGCATTCCATATTTTTACTGTCATACAAGTGGAGTAAGTCACAAAGAGAAAAACAAATATTGTATATTAATGCATGTATGTGGAACCTGAAAAAATTGGTGTAGATGAACTTATTTACAAAGCAGAAATAGAGACACTGACATACAGAACAAACATATGGATACCAAGGGGGAAAGGGGGTGGTGGGATGAATTGGGAGATGGGAATTGACATATATACACTCTTGATACTATGTATAAAATAGATAACTAATGAAAACCTACTGCGTAGCTCAGGAAACTCTAGTCAGTGCTCTGTGGTGACCTAAATGAGAAGAACATCCACAAAAGAGGGGATATATGTATACATACAGCTAATTCACTTTGCTGTACAGTATAAACTAACACAATATTGTAAAACAACTATACTCCAATAAAATAAATAAATAAGTAAAAGCTTGAGCCTAAGAAGAGCTAGTGATGTGATTCCTCCATTTTTTTTTCCTCACCTAGTGTGGGCCGGTAATTGAGCTTTGTGGATGCTACAGTGACTGTGAAAGACACATTTCAATTATTTGTTGCTGTGTTACAACTCCAGGATACAGGGACTTAAACAGCCATTTTACCTTTACTCTCAATTTTGTGGGAAAGGAATTTGGATGGTTCATCTCTGATGCACATGGTGATAGTTATGGCTGGAAGATCCACTTCCAAATGGCTTCATCTCTCATGTTTGTTGCCTTGGTTCACCTTGCCAGCTCTCCCTCTCCTCTCCTCTCCCTTCTTCTCCTCTCTTCTCCTCTCCTTTCTTCTCTTCTCCTCTCCTCTCCTCTCTTCTCTTCGTTCCTCTCCACTCCTCTCCTCTTCATTCCTCTCCTCTCCTCTCCTCTTTTTTCCTCTCCCTGCCTCTCTCTCTTTTTCATTCCTTCTTCCCCTCTTTCCCCCAACCCTCTTTCTCATCCCCTCTCCCTCACTCTCATTCTCTCCCTCTGAGGTTTCTCAAGCTCTAGGTCTCTCCCCACTGCTTGAACTTTTCAAAGCATGGTCATTTTTGACTACATAAATCATGTAAAACAGATTTATTTCTATCAGGCATGTCTCAACTTCAATGTTAAAACCTCAGAGAAGTCTTCCATGAACAACCAATCTAGGATAAGTCATCCACTATCAATTTTTTCATCCAGTATGAATTCTCTGCAAAACATTAATCAATATCTTATATATTTATTTATTTATTCCCCATAATTTCCATTTATTTATTCACTCATGTATTCAATAAATATTTATTGAGCACATACATATATCAACAGCTATTATAGACATTTAGCAAACATCATTAGGAAAAAAAAAGAAAAGCCACTAAGATTCCTGATGGCATGGAATGTGTACTCCATAAGAGCAGGAATCTAGCCTGTCTTCCTCACCATTGTATATCCAGAGCCTAGAAAAATGCCTGACATGTAATATATGCTCAATAAACGTTCTTGATTGACCAAATGAGCAAAAGTGGGGCTGTTATAAAAGGGGACAGGAGGAATCTTAGAGTAGTATGAGAGACACAACCAGGGGAACTCATTATCATTTGAAGATCATGGGAGAGCTCCTTGCAGAGGTGATACTTAAGCTGAGAATCAGAAGATGGGTTGAAGTTAGTGACAATAGCAACATCAGTGGAGGCAGGACTTCACCAGAGTGATCTACATCCCAGTGATAGAAGTTAGATCTGAGATTCAAAGAAAAGTAGAGAATAATGGGAAGGAATATGCAATTTTCTCTTTTGGGGATTGAAGCTAGGATTTATATTAATTTTTATAGTAATTTTGAACTCTTAGCTCTTGAAGCCATATATTATAATTATATACATAGAAAGATGGATTTTGTAACCTCCAGAGTACATTGACTTTTCAATGGTTGCTCTTGAAATTGATGCTCCCAAGTGCTAAACTTGTTTTTGAATTAAATTGAATATTTATTTCAAATTAAATATCTAGTAATCCTCTTTATTGTTTGTTTGTTTTTTGCGGTACGCGGGCCTCTCACTGTTGTGGCTTCTCCCGTTGCGGAGCACAAGCTCCAGATGCGCAGGCTCAGCAGCCATGGCTCACGGGCCTAGCCGTGAGCATGTAGGATCTTCCCAGACCGAGGCACGAACCCGTGTCCCCTGCACTGGCAGGCGGACTCTCAACCACTGCGCCACCAGGGAAGCCCTAGTAATCCTCTTTTAATCATAGATTCAAAATGTATTGGAATTTACTTAAGTAAATATTATTACCTGGAGGGTATGTGTTTCAAGCCCCTCTTTACCACCAAGCTTCTTTCATCAATTGTCTATTCATAGCTTCTTTATTTGATTCTCATAAGTCCTGCAAGGTCTCACTGACTCTAAGATTCCAACTTCCACCCTGCTCTTGGGATATCTCCTGTTTTAAAGATATGACAATTACTTCTACTCTGCTCTTTCAGGGTGATAGGGGAAAGTGCTGTTTCAAGATTTATCCCCATTTGGTTTTGCCTCACATAACATCTCACTACAGTAACTTTCAGTTTCAGAAATAAGTAAGTTCATCTATAAATTACAAAGCCACAAGGAAATATATAATATTTATAAATTTGATATGTACTCAAATATTGAGATACATTCATGAGAAGGTTATTCTTCATAGAATAATACACAAATCAAAAATTAAAACCAGAAGTTTAAACAAAATAAAACCATATGTTATGATGTGTGATCTCATCAGATCTGTGCCCCTCCACCATTAGGTGGAGTCACTAAACCTATTCTCCCGATGTTTCATTTTACAAGAGTCTTGTATTAAGGTAGCACTGGACTCTTACTGACCCCTCACTTCCCTGGAAGATAGTAATCTAGAAATTTAGGGAGTAGAAACTAGGTAGGCAGAGCTCAACATATTACCCATTCAGTTTTAATCTGGCCTCCAAGAAGCTTGTATTCTGGCCTGTTTTTGTCCCCAGTGGTTAAGTTTATTGGTAAAGGCTCCTTCCACGTGGAGGAAGCAGTGCTACCTGTGACAAGGTGAGCCCTGATCCTGGGGAGCTGCATTTTGTTATCACACAGTGAGCTGTGCTCTCCATCAATTATATGAGTTATATTTTTATCTCCATAGGATAAACTTCTTCATATATCTCTTAACTGGTTCAGAATTTGAGTGGGAGATAGGAGACCCTTCAGATGTTAATATTGTAGGAACAATGTAGGAAGTAAATGGGAGCATATGTTACAAAAATGCACAGAACTGGGCTCCTTGTTTTTTTTTTGGCATTAAAAATTTTTTTGTTCTTGGGTAAATCATTTAAACTCCCTGAAACTCTGTTTTCAATCATTAAACTGAGGGGAATGGACTATATTAATGTTTTTCAGACCCTAAAGTACCTACCATCCCCAGAGAGGTAGAAGAGGGCTCAGTGGAGGAGAAGCAACTTTGGAGTTCCCACATCTGCTTTATCAAGGTCAGCTCTATTTCTAGAAAATATTGAGCTTCCCAGTAAGACTTTGCAATGAAATATTTGAAAACAATTCCATTAGATGATTTCCATTATTTCTTCCATCTCTGACACAGTGTTGCCACATGTAAAATGACCAGGCAATGACTTGGTATAACAGGAATTATGCAGGCTTGGACACAAAGATCAGCCTAAGTTTGGATCTTGACTGTAACATACACAATGACATTCGACAAGACACACAACAGAGTTCTTGGATGGATGGATGGATAGATAGATGTATAGACAGATAGATAAATAGATAGATACGCCATTGTTATTTTATGTGGGGAATTCCTGAAACCACAGAGAGTATTCAATAATTGCTAAGGCATTCTTACCCTCTCCCTTTCCATTTTTCAAAGGGAAAGCCTTTCAATAATAACATGAAATATTTATATGATGCTTTAAACCATTTTTACACATGGCCTTGTCTCATTTGCATCACATGATTCTCTAGTATAAGTCTACATTAATTTCCTCCTTTTTAAAGAGAGTAAACTAGCTCAGCAGTCTGCTCAAGGTCATGCAGCTACTAAATGGCAGGCTTAGGGTTTGAACCTGGTCTCTCCAATATTGAATCTGTCCTAGTGCCCGTGGACTAATAAGCCAGCTCTGAATGAGTCATAACATATTCAGTTTCACCTATCCTCATCACTTTTTATGGTTCAGATGACCAATGCGACTCCTGTAAAATGAAATTGGCAATTGTTTATGGCACTGGCAGTGGGTTGTTATGTCAGCTCATCTACTGAGGCAGCCATTGTGAAATAACGTGCGGTGACCCCTCAGTGTGAAGACTAGCACCTGTGTCATACTTGTCATTGTTCAGCATTAATATCTGCCCTGCTACTCCTTCAATACACTTTCCAAGTATCCACCACAATGTATTTGTTCTCAAAGCGACTTGACTTCCAAGTTTGAAAAAATTGTATGCTGACTTCTGATGTTTAAACACGATGCTTGACTTTTCAATCCAGGTAAAATACTGTTGAAAACAAATAGCATTTCAAACAAGAGTTTTGGATAGCCAAGCTGTTGTTATCTCTTAAAAGATGCTGCGTGGAGACAATTTTTGTTGACGTGGTTACGATAAGCCAAATTCCACAGAAAATATAACCCAATTCTATCATTTTTTCCCAATTTCTGTCCATGTAACAGTAACTATTTTCTAGGCTAAAAAGCAAAGCAAGCAATGGAGCTTTGCCTCTGTAATGATATTTTTACTGTAGGCCTGCTATGAATATAGTTCCTAAAGTTTCTTTGAACTTACCCCAAATTCCAACTAATTCCCTCACCCTTCTGACTCTTTCCATTCTACTTTCTCAAGCAACTCATGAAAAACAACTCATAAACAGATAAACAACAATAACAACAACAGCAACAAACTCAGCAGTGCATATATACAGGGTTAGGAGGAAAATTAATGAGGATTATATACAACTTATTACCTTTTAAATGTGTGGTATTCATTGATGCCTCTCTTCCTTTCACAGCCCACATCTAGTCCTAAATCATGTACTGTCACCTTAAC